CCTGTCACTAACCTCCTAATGTTTGGGCAGGCTGCCCAATCTGAATCACAGTATGTTGTAAGCTCATCAGTGGCTTCACCTTTAGCAAAATTCCCAGACCTGGCCTTCCTTTAACATATTTGACAACACTTAGAGCTGCCTCCATATGTGACTCTTTAGGATGTTGCATAAAATGGCTCAATACTTGAACAACAAAGGATATGTTTGGCCTTGTGATTGTCAAGTACAATAGCTTGCCAATTAGCTTTTGATAGCTGTCTGCTTCCTGCAACTCTGCATCATTGACATTTCCAGCATGCTTGTCATATTCAACTGTGGTAAGCTTGTGATTTTGTTCCATTGGCGTGGATACTGGCTTGCAAGCACTTAGTCCAACTTCTGAGATCAGTTGCAAGGCATATTTTCTCTGATTGAGTAAAATGCCTTTGTTGGATCTCATCACTTCAATTCCCAGAAAGTATCTGAGTTCACCTAAGTCTTTCATCTTAAAATTTCTGTGTAGAGTCTCCTTTGCTTCCTGAATCAAATTACTATTACTTCCTGATATCAGAAGATCAACCGCATATACCAATACAATGACAATATCTGCCTTATCCCTTTTGGTGAATAGTGAATGATCATAAGGACTTTGAGTGAAACCAGCTTGTAATAGTGCATGTGTTAACTTGATGTTCTATTGCCTCGAGGCTTGCTTGAGGCCATAGAGGGATTTAAGCAGTCTACATACTTTAGACTCCCCCTGACTGTGGAATCCCTGAGGTAACTGCATGTAGACTTCTTCACATAGGTCCCCTTGTAGGAAAGCATTGTTGACATCCATTTGGAAAAGAGGCCAGCCCTTAGATGCTGCAACAGCAATGACAGTTCTGATAGTCACCATCTTAGCAACAGGTGAAAAAGTTTCATGATAATCTAAGCCTTCCTGTTGTGTGTATCCTTTGGCTACCAAACGAGCTTTAAACCTTTCAACTTCACCATTGGCCTTATACTTAATTTTGTACACCCATTTGGACCCAATGGCCTGTTTATCTGGTGGAAGATTGACAATCTCCCATGTATGATTGTCTTCTAAAGCTTGTATTTCCTGTTGCATAGCAAACACCCAGTCTGGATCTGTTGCTGCTTCCTTGTATGATGTAGGCTCCACTGAAGCAGAGAAAGCTTGAAGATATGTCTGATATGCAATTGAAAGTTGAGTATATGAGAGATGATTGGACATAGGATATATATATTTGCCTGGTAGTTTAGTGGTGATATAGTCTTTGAGCCAGAGTGGTTGCTTGGTTTGTTTGTGGAGTCTGGAGTTTTCAACAATTGGAGCAGGTGAAGGTATGGTAGTAGAGGAAGGTGGGTTAATCAGCATGTCATCTTGGGGAGCTGGTTCCTCCACCTGTGGAAGAGTATTTTGCCTTCAGTAACAGCAACATTCTCAAAACCTTCTAATGTTACTTTAGATTCTGTAAAGATAGGTGTAAAGGTGGCTTCCTCATCTTGTGAGGTAGCTAGTGTATGTTGGGAAGGGGAATTGAGATTAAAAACGTGCTCAGTAGATGTTGAGAACAATGCTTCTTCATCATGGCTGTTAGAAGTCTGTTTGAAAGGGAACACATACTCCTGAAACTTTACATCCCTGCTAACAAAGACCTCATGATTATCAAGATCATATAGTCTATAACCTTTTTGTGTCTCAGAATATCCAATGAACACTTCTCTCCTTTCTCTGGGAGAAAATTTGTCTCGCTTAGGAAGATTACAAGCAAAACCTTGACATCCAAACACTCTTAAATGATCTAAGGTAGCATACTTCCCATAGAGCATAGCATAAGGTGTCTTGCCTTGCAGAACTGGTGTTGGGAGCCTATTGATTAAGTATACAGCAGTCCTAACACATTCACCCCAGAACTTCAAAGGCACTCCACCGTAAAATTTCAGTTGCCCTAGCAACATCCAGAATGTGCCTATGTTTTCTCTCAACTATGACATTTTGTTGAGGAGTATATGGACAACTGCTTTCATGCATGATCCCATTTTCAGCCAGTAATTCATTACACTTGGTATTGAAAAATTCTGTACCATTATCTGATCTCAGGGTCTTGATGCCAGTATCAAATTGTGTCTTTACTATTGCAATAAAAATTTTCAATACAACACACACTTCCCACTTAGGATGTATCAAGCATACCCATGTGTATCTGGTAAAGTCATCAACCATAGTCACAAAGTAATACTTTCTATCATATGTAGGTGTCTTGTAAGGACCCCATACATCTAAATGAACTAGCTGGAAAACTGCTTTAAACTTACTTACACTATTAGGGAATTGCAATCTACTCTGTTTAGCTAGAGGACAAACACTACAATTTCTCGATTGTCCTGCACATATCTTGTCTTGTAGAGATGATATATGTTGTATAGAATTCCATGATGCATGTCCCCGTCTGTAGTGCCAAAGTTGTATTTGTTCTTCTTTTATTACTGCTCCTACTGTTATGCCTGCTGCTTGTGCATATTCTCTTAGTATGTATAGACCATCAGATTCTCTACCAATCCCTAATACCTTGCCACTGTAAAGTCCCTGCAACACACAAAAATCAGGGAAGAACTTCACTGTGCAAGTGAGGTCTCTAGTGAGTTTTGCAACTGACAGCAAATTAAACTTGAAATCTGGCACATGCAGTACATCCTTTATACATTTGCCTCCTAAAATAGTAGCCTTTCCAGTATATGTTATCTCTGCTTTTTTCCAGTTGGCAATTGAACTCCATGTCCTTCAAACTATTTTATATCACTCATTATACTCTTATCATGAGCAATATGATGAGTTGTCCCAGAGTCTACTATCCAACTAGTTAGAGGAATATTGGATAATAAAGTCATAATACCTGCCATGTTTGTAGAGAATTCTTCACCTCCTTGCTTGTTCAGAAGCCCTATAAGCTGCTGATACTGTTCCTCAGTGAGGAAATGCCCTTGTGGTTGATTGCTTGTCCCTCCTGTTTCTTTAGTTCTTGCAGCATTGGCAAAAGATCTATTTCCTCCTGTCTGAGGTTTCTTTTGCTTTTAAAGTCAGCTGGATAGCCAACAATTTTGTAACAATTCTCCTTCAAATGTCCCTTGTAGCCACAATGTTCACAAATCAGTCCAAACTTCTTAGGTTTAAAAACCGTCCTTTTCCTGCAAGTATAGTTAATGGATCTCTATTTGTGTCAACTACACCTAGTGTTCGTTGACTCTCCTCCTATGTCACTATGGCATAAGCTTCGTTTACAGTCACAACTGGTCTTTTGAGAAGAACATTGCTTCTTACATTGTTGTAGCTTTCATTTAGGCCCATGAGAAATGTCAAAAGTCTCTGATTTCTCATATGTTCTATTGAAGGCCTTGATTCTTCACAATCGCATGAGGAAGGGTACCAATACATCTAATTCACTCCATAGATCTGACATCTTTGTATAGTAAGTAGTCACAGAATCAGTCCCTTGTTTAAGGCTAGCAATCTCTGACCACAGATGATATATTCTAGTTAAACTACATCTATCAAATTTCTCCTTAAAATCACTCCATACTTTCCTAGCACTGGGTGCAAAAACTATGCTTGGCATCAATTCATTACTGACTGTGCTTCCAATCCACGACAGTACAACCGCATCATATTTTTCCCATTGCGCTACTAATCCTCCTCTATACGAACTTTTAACACATGTTCCATCTACAAATCCAAGCTTGCCTTTTCCCATAAATGCTAGTTTCATTGGCCTACTCCACTTGGCATAATTTTCTGGCCCTGTGAGTTTAATTGGAACTAAAACTAGACCTGGTGCATCTGCTGCTTGAAGAAATAGAGGATGATTGTGTTCGAATGAGGTTACCTCATTTCCTGCCATGGCGATCTGAAATTCTGCTTCTTCTCCGGTGAATTTCTTCAAATTTCAGCTGATTCGTCGGAACCTCTCGTCGGAGCTCGTGTCCTCAGTCTCGTTGCTCTGATACCATGTCAATTTACACAAATTCTATGTAAATCTTCATTAACTGAAACATGCAATGAGATACTCTACAATAGAGGAAGGTTTTAGAGAGAAGGAAGAAGAAGATTTCTTATTTCAGCTAGCTCTGCATATACGACTAATACTGCTCTTTTATAGAACAGTATTAACTGCCTTTTAACCGACCAGTTATAACTTTCCTCTAATTACAAATTGACCCCTACTACTTATCTTATATCACAACAGTAAAGCAAACAAATAAATTGTTCTTCTAATGTAAGAGACTATGTGAATTCTTAAAGTAAGGACATCGACTACGGCCTACAATGTAAACTTTATTGCTACCTGAACATAAATAGCATATCAACTAAAATAATGGTAGAGTAAAAAAATTAAAGATACTAACTTGATCAGTATCTTATCAATTGAGCACAGATCTCTCTCATAAAATAAAATTTAAAATTATTTTTTAGAAGTAAGAAATATTATGTTAAAAGGAGTAGTGGAAAATGATATTAAGTCAAGTGACGCGCTAATAAATTATCATAATAATAATATTGAATAATAAAAATTATAATAAAAGAAAATAAAAAACAAAAATATTATACGATGACTATATAATTTATGTTTCTTTAATTTCATATACTCTAATTAATGAAATATTGTATTGAGAAGTAAGATACCCATTGAAATTCTATTAATGTAACATAATATAATATATAAATTATTATTTAAAATAATTAATATTCTTTCACGCTAACCGCATATCGCGCGGGTTCTAATACTAGTTAAGGGTAAAATCGAAAGTATAAAAATAATTGTTTTCAAATATAAAATTATTTTGAAACAGACCAATAAAAACGGTGGTATAGAATAGTGGTAATTCGATATATAAGTCGCAAACATCAATGCGATATAGTACTATCTGTGATTTATAAGACACATTACCTAAATGCGATTTATAAGTGGTAATGGGATTATAAACTGAATTAGTGCGCTTATAAGACGCATTAGATGAATGGGATATACTTATTGCCTTAGGAGACTTGGTAGAACAGGGGCCAGGATAAGGGAAAAAGTCCCAGCATCCTCTCTTCACTTAGCTATTTTTAGTTTCATTTGCTGCATTAATTAACAAAAAAATGGCAGCGGCAACCGCAAACAGCTGGTTCACGGTGCTCACCTCCACCGGCGGCGGCACTACACGATGCTCTCTCTCATCTCACCGTCTCTTTTCAACTTCCCTTAGACCTTCTTCTTTATTCCTTCCTAAAGCTTCCACTCAAAATCAAAACCATAACAAAAATGTTCTCAAGAAATCATCCGAGGTAAATTAACATCATCGTCTCTGCTATTTTTTTTAATACTCAATCACCATTGGATTAGGTTCTGTTTTTTCTTTATCTTTATTATACTATGCATTGTATTGTCTTAAAAGATAAATTATTTAGTATTTTAATAAGATTTCCCTGGATAGAGCTGAATGGATCGTGAATTGTGATATTATTGAGCTTTTGGACCCGCTTTTGGCAGAGGTGAAGCCAGGATTTCAACCTTATGAGTTCAAAATTTTAGAACAATGATTTCAAGTGCTAATAAGTGGGTTCTAAACTTAATATTTGTACATATTTAATAAGTTTCTTAACATAAATACTCTATTTGAGCAAAACCTAGTGGGTTCAGCCGAACGTGTAGCCGGACTTCTAGCTCCGCCCCTGGCATTTGGTGTATATATTATAATTGAGTTCTCATTTATTGGTTGCTTTATAAATTCTTCTGTGTTTCATGTTGGTCAATACACTGTAGTCCAACTAATAAGAAAACATTCGTAGTTGGTGATGTGAAATAATGTGCACTCACTCACTCACACACTTACACACTTACACATATATATAACATTGCGAAAGAGTGAGACTTTAATACTGAGTCGTTCTTTATGATACTTCCCGAAATTAGATAAGAAATGGCGAATTGAGTGTATGAGAAGATACATGAATTTTGCAGTGTCGAAAATGTATTATGCTTAGTCATACTTGTATTGATATGGCTTTTTGTTGGCGATACATGCTAGATAGGAAAAAGATGAAGAATACACTTTTACCCTCTTGCATGCTTTAGATTATCAAAGAGTGATATGAGCGCAACTGAAAATGGGGTTAAGGCAAGTTAAATCATGATTTTTAATGTTTGCTGGTTTTTTTACTTAATGAGAAAGATTGAAAGAAGTATTTTGTGAAGGAGACATGCAATGCAAGCTTAAAATATAATCTCTTGCAAAGAAACTGCTTTTTTTTTTCTTCTCTTTTGGTCCTTATTTGAAAATTATTTTTACTTGTTGTTTGATTCAATTTGAATCACTATGATCTGCACTAGCTGTTCTCATGGTTCTGCTCGTCGGAGCTAGTCATGTTACTTTGTTCCAATTTAGGGAAAAAGTATTTCCTTGTTGTTTATGAGTAAAACTTTTATTAAACAAGCAAAGCCATGAATTCAGAAAGAAGCTGGTCAGGCAATCATGATTTTTTATGTTTGCTGGTTTTTTGACTTGATGAGAAAGATTGAAAGAAGTAATTTGTGAAGGAGACATGCAATGCAAGCCTGAAATATAATCTCTTGCAAAGAAACTGCTTTGTTTTCTTCTCTTTTGGTCCTTATTTGAAAATTATTTTTACTTGTTGTTTGATTCAATTTGAATCACTATGATCTGCACTAGCTGTTCTCATGGTTCTGCTCATCGGAGCTAGTCATGTTACTTTGTTCCAATTTAGGGAAAAAGTATTTCCTAGTTGTTTATGAGTAAAACTTTTATTAAACAAGCAAAGCCATGAATTCAGAAAGAAGCTGGTAAACAGAAGTTTCCACGGAGATCAAAAAATGAAGGGCCTTTTGCAAATGCAGATGGCAGGAGCAGTACGAATGAAGCAGGACGATCTCAACTGACATCAATTAGATCATTTGGTCTGCAGAGAAAAGGGAAGGGAGTTCTGTTAGATTCAAAGGAGCAGCAGGTAAGAAAGTCAACTTCTTCTCTCCATTTTGTCTAGGTGATTGGCTTCTTTCTTGCTCTTGAGAAATATACAGAACAAGGGAAAATGGGTGTTAGTCGTGCAACTCTGTGTGTCTGTTGGGTTGGGTTTTTTGGTGGTGGTGGTGGTGGTGGTTGATAATAACATGAAAGGGCTTGCACTTTTTCACATTCTCTTTTACCTTTTTATAGTTTTTATCACATGATGCTGTTATGCACACATTAATTTTGCATAAATGAGTGCCACACCGAGGTGGATCTATGACTTTAAAAGTTCCCCTGTACCATCTGCTCTTTTGTGGTAATATGTGCCTTCATATAAATATATATCTGTAGAAGTTTTCAATTTCATATATGTATATGTGCGTGTGTGTGTGTGTGCGTTTTTCCCCCAAGTTGAAGACGATGTCCTGCAGCCAAAATACTCCATCTGTTGCCGTGTTTTCAACTTATTGCTTTTGGCTTTCTATTCTTTATTTTTGCTGCACTTCAGGACAGCAACAATGTTCTTGAGATTCTTTTTTTTCTAAGATATAGGGATGTTATCTTGGAGAGGATGTAACTTAACTCTGATACTTCTATGTTCTTCCCAAATATACTTTTTTATCCCGCCATTCCCCTATCTATTTTATCCTACTTACTTGTACTCAAGAATTATACAATTTTGGTGCTGTCAAGTTCTATATCTTTATTATGTTCCAAAAGATGTTGTTTCAATTGTTCTACACCACTGCACCTAAGTTGTTTTTCTTTTCCAGGTAGAAACCAGTAGCTTCCAAGATGCAGCTTTTCTTAATGCTGTTGTGAAGGTGAATATATGTTAATATATATGGCAATATTCTAATTATGCAAATTTATTTGAATGCCTCATCTTCAAATCTCAAGGTGAAGGTGAAGATCATTTGAATCATGAAATTAGTAAAAGGGGATCCCATGGAAACTATCAACTTCAGTACTCATCTTATCCTTACTTGCTTAGAAAGGGAAATTTGTGAAATAACCTCGTGTATCTCTAAACAGTTGTGACACTGGGCATTTATAAAGTGTGTTGTTGTCGTTGTTAGACACGAAATTATTCTCTAATGGTTTGGTTCTTCCAGTTCGAAGATAATAAAAAATGTAATTAAAATACTTATGCAGCACTTAGAATGGTGTACACCTCGACGGATATTCTATCTCACTCAGTTTCTTCTGTAGCCTCAATAGGTCCATCATGTGATTGCTTTCAACATATCTGCAAGTGCACTTATGAATGACTTTTATATGGATTGCATGAGCATGACAATTCAATAATGTTTACTCACATTCCCATTTCCATTTTGTTTGTGTCAAGGTTTACTGTACACATACTGCTCCAGATTATTCCCTTCCTTGGCAGAAACAAAGACAATATACAAGTACTGGAAGGCATGCTCTTTCTCCTTTCTCTCTTAGTAAATTGTGGAAAATGGCTAATTTCCTATGAACAGTAGTTCTGCGATGCGTTATTCTCTGATATTGTCTACTATATCTGGTAGGCTGATCTTTGTATGGGGGGATAGCCTAGAAGTTTGACTTTAGTTTGATTTTATTCAGTGCTTTCATGATTGGTGACGGAAAGCTCTTAACCAATGCGCATTGCGTTGAACATGATACACAGGTACCTACTTTTATGGCACTCTCTTCTCAAGTATATACAAAGTGGCTAGTGTTGTAGTCAGTGTTCACTATTGTTGAACCCCTGCTGTTTAGGTGGTCTTCTGTCACCCAATGAGTCAATTACATTGTTCTACTCCATCTGCCTGTCAAATGCAGCTTTTAGCTTAATCAAAATTAATATTTTTGGTGGCAGGTCAAAGTGAAGAAAAGGGGAGATGACACAAAATATGTTGCTAAGGTATGCTTTCCATGATAGGTTTTAAATACCTACACAAAATATGCTTTATTGTTTTATTCTTGTAAGACGAATAACGGAGTCATCTCGGGCTCTTATATGGAAACAGAAAACAGTTTGAGACCAATCATTAGATGATGTCTCCTAAAAGGTACTCCCTCTGTACAGTTTATGTGAAACTATTTCCTTTTTATAGTCTGTTCTAACAAGAATGTTCCCTTTCTATATTTTGAAAACAATTAACATTAAACTTTCCATTTTACCTTTAATGACATGGTTTTATAACCACTCAAATGTCCTGACATGTTTAATACCACAAGTTCCTAAAGTCTTTTTTTCATTTTTTTTCCTCCTTAAATTCTGTGTCCTGTCGAACAGGTTCCCATAAAATGGAATGGAGGGAGTAATACTATTGGAATGAAAGGGTTGTGGTGATTATTCTTTGACAAGATTTATTTTGAATGTTGAAATATCTGAAGCTAAGTGAGACATGATATGTTAGACCAAAATCATTGGGAAGTATTATAGTCTTGGAGTAAAGCATTATACAGTGTGCGTTAAAGTAGATCTGGTATTTCTGCAGCTAGATTGCTTTCTCTTGCTTATCCTAAAAAGAAGCTGAATTACAGCTAGATAGTACTGCTGTCTCTCCAACTCTGCCACTTTTCCTCTTTGCTTTACCTGTAATAGAAAACCATGCACCTAGACCTAGACTTTTATATATGAGGCAGTGCGCTTATGCAAGTATTCCGGGCTCTTTCTTTGTCTACGGCTAATGTGCCTCTCGTCTTTGTTTAATCCTAAGCTAGTATATGGGATGATTCAGCTTGTTTCCCTTCCTCGCTAGACCCCCCCCCCCCCCCACACACAAAAAAAAATAAAAATAAAAAACCAAACTTAATTATGTGGTGCTTAATTCTCATCATGTATGACATGTAGGTTCTAGCCAGAGGGGTAGAGTGTGACATAGCTTTGCTATCTGTGGAAAGCAAGGACTTTTGGGAGGGAGCTGAGCCCCTTCGTTTTGGACGGTTGCCTCGTCTGCAGGTACTTCTCATTTATCAATTTCATTTAGAAAAAGCTGTTCTACATGTGTGTGTGTGTTGCTGGTGTTATATGTTAGGATTCCTCTGCTGCTACTGATACATTGTCTCTTTCTTTCTTGTGCCGAGGGTCTACCGGAAACAGCCTCTCTACTCCTCCGGAGTAGGGATAAGGTCTGCGTACACACTACCCTCCCCAAACCCCACATGTGGGATCTCACTGGGTTGTTATTGTTGATTTCTTCCTTACCTTACCTTATAAAAAAATTATGTATAGTTTTTCTCTGAAGATGTGCTGTCTCATTTTTAGTGTTGGTCTAAATGTGTCAAAGAAAATAGGATGAGCCACCCTGCACAAGTGTTCATACTGAAGAAAGTTGGCACCTATCTACATTGATGCCTGCTTACTATATTAGTCAATCACACCTGATCTTGGATGAATCAAGTTTGTAGATGTCCTATCCTTGAGTCGAGATTTGTCTCTGATATGTATGATTATGTGAATTATATATTTGTAAGGCAGCTTCACATTTGATAGTAAGCTTCAATTGTTGATTAAATAAGTAAAAGTTTAGTTATTTCTTGGGTGGAATTATACCTTAAAAGAAAGAATATTACATTTATTCCCAGGGAAAATATTTTCTATAAAAGCCAATTCTGGACTCATAACCACTTTAACATAATCTTGTTGCCTTTTTGCTTGTCATTACTCATTTGATATTTGACCCTCTGTTACTACTCAATTTGTGTTGCTGGATTACTTTCTATTTTCCGTTGAATATGAAAAATCTTGACATATTCAAAACCCCAAATCTCTTGCCGAATCTGCTGTGATGCATATAGCTTACATATTAAGCTGGTCCTTTTTCTTTTGCAGGATGCTGTCACTGTGGTTGGCTATCCACTTGGAGGAGATACAATATCTGTGACTAAGGGGGTGGTTTCAAGAATTGAGGTTTGTTTTGTTCACCTTTCAGTTAAGGTAGTATTAGTTTATTCCTTAGCTGACCGTGACTGACCTCTAGATGCTTTTACTTAAGAATTTTTTATCGTTACTCTTGCTTTGATCAATGTGGGTCATTTGTCTTTTCCTGGGTACACTTTAGTCTGTTGTGCTCTTTTACTGATGACTGGTATTGTTCTTATCATGTCATGATCTATTCAATCTTAAGGGTAATGATTGCTCGAATTTAGATTAGTAAATGGATAATGTTAGGAAAAGAAACTTGCATAGATAATGCACGATGGTCATAACTGTGTACAGCTATAACAGTAATATTAGTATAAGGTCTAATTTTGTGGATTCTCTTTCCAAAATAGGACCTGCGCGTTCCTTTTTTTTTTGGTAAGGTAAGTTTTTTTAGTGTTGGGGAAAGCCCCGTATACAAGAAGTATACAGAATGAAAATGTGGTCAAAGGGGGTTTATCAACTATTAATCTGGTTTCATGATCCTAAATTAAAATCCGCATCATTAACCTGCAATTAAGCTAGTTGATTCACCTTAAAGAAATACACCGTGGGAATACAATGGGTTTGTTGTTGTTGTGTTGTTGATTCACCTTAATGAAATGCGAGGTACTTTTATAGAGATCATTGTTCTTTGTTATTATTATTGTTCATTTGTTTTTCTTGACCCTTTTACACCCTTATTAATCCCACTTTTAAAGGTTGGGGTTATAGTTAAGAGTATTCAAGCATATAGTTGTTCCCTTAAATTCCAGTCAGTTCTATAGGTTGGAAAAGAGTTGATTATTACAAATGAGACAATCTTCCCTTTGCTACTAGTGATAGATACAGCCTGAATTTTGTTCTCCTAGACCTAGATATTGATTACAAGTGCTAACTCACAGATTTGTCTTCATCAATAGGTTACATCATATGCTCATGGATCATCTGAGCTCCTGGGCATTCAAATAGATGCAGCAATAAATCCTGGTAAATGGACGTTGAAATAAGACTGCTTCTTCATATAACAAGCCCACAGAAATTTACTCTTATCTAATTTGTCTTAGAACTTATCCATGTGTACATACATGGATGAATAGTTGTATTTTTTTTCTTGCTTTACTGTAGTTGCTGCTACTAATGGCAAGGATTTTAGGTAATAGTGGCGGTCCTGCATTCAATGATGATGGAGATTGCATTGGAGTGGCATTTCAGGTAGTTGCTTGTCAGATTTGGGACCAGACTCTTGCTTCTTTTGGCTTGCCACTTTAGTTTTGCAGAGTCCTCCCTTTTAGGGATTTGTAACGACAGGATGCAACTATTTATTTCAAGTTTGAAATGGTTACTTAATCACATAATTGTAGTATTTTATATTACCAAGCTGTTATTTTCATCTGTTTTGAAAGGCATTCTGAGGCTAGCTTAAGAGCTCGGCCCAAAGCAAACCATAACAGTACCCCTTGGGGCAACTAGGGGTGGTAGTATCTCTTACGGCCATGTGCTGCATCAACATTTCTTCAAATTACTTTTTGTATTTGTCACTTATTTTTATTTTGATTGATTTATTTAGTGAATGAGGTCAGTCACTCAGGGTACAAAATGTTTTCTAGTGCATTTGCCTTAAAAACCAATAATGGTCAGCATACTGTTCCTCCACTATGTTTGACAAAGTTATGATCCTCTTCAAGAATCTCATGCCTTATTTTTTTTTTTTTACTTCATTTTGATGTTTTCATATTGATAGTTCTTACACAACAACTCCTTTAGGTTTACAGATCTGATGATGCTGAAAATATTGGTTATGTAATCCCCACTACAGTTGTGTCTCATTTTCTGGAAGATTATGAGAGGAATGGGAAGTATTGTGGTGAGTCTGTCTCCTTTTGTGAAATTATCTGCTCATTCAGGTCATTCTATACTGAGGAATCACCTAAATGGCTAGGGCTTTGCAAACAGTCTTTGTTTTCAATTACACAGTTTGTTAACCGAGAATATTTATTTTCTTGAATTAGATTATGACAACTGACTGATCTCTTGGATTAGCTTCATTTCAATCTGTTTGGTCTGAATTCTGTGTCTATTTTTTTATATGCATCAAGCGCGGAGTTCTTAAGTTCGATTGTGCTGCTGGAAAAATCAATTAATACGCAAATATGAACTAAAGAAGTGTACTTTTGAGTTGCATGGTATAGAAAAATACCCAGTTCTAAACTTTGAATATAAGCTTATTTCGAACCTAACCAACTGATGCCTGCGTCTGCTCCTTTCTTATTTGTGAATCAAGTATCTTTGTTGCTGCCAGTTGGCTTGTCATGATGTCTAGCTGTAATTGTGTGATGATGATACTTGACGAGAGAGAAGTAATAGAAATATTTAACTCCCAGACTGGTTGGTTTTGCTAATGAGAAGGCGGCTGGATGAATGGAAACTCCTCCAGGCATTTCAGCCTCTGACATGAAGGCATATGTGGAAGAAACGGAGATGCCTCCTGGTTCTGTAAAAGGAGAAAGGAAAAGATTAAGTGTCATCGAAAGAACTAAAAGATTGGCATTATTAATGTGATAAAGGGTCATGGATTGAGGCTTAACTCTGAGAAATTAGGTGTGAGCAGCACATGGGCCAAGCAGGAATTTTTGTTGGTGAACACTAATTTTGTTTATGTTATTTGCTTCCCGTTAGTCCTTAATCACAACATTAATTTATGCTGTGGCAGGGGCCCCTGAAATAAGAAGCCATCAGTATTAACTTATCATTTCAAACTTGTATGGTTCCACCGCTAGATGCTGTTTTTCTGTACATGCCAAATCATAGGCTGAAGTTTTAACTTGTAACTTCTTAGTTTGCTCTTTAAATGGGTCCACTGGGACCAAAACTCTGGTATATGATATACTACTTCTAACTATATCATATTTTCAGGTTTTCCTTGCCTTGGGGTCTTGTTGCAAAAATTGGAGAATCCAGCACTACGTGCCTGCTTAAAAGTGCCATCTAACGAGGTCTGTTTATTTATCTATACAGAATGAAAGTCCTTGTGTCTGCTCTTCAGAGTGATCGTCTTTCTCTGTATAGT